GAAACAGAGCTGTTCCCATCAATTTCTTCTTATCCTGCATTCAGGTGCTTTGGAGAATAGGTTGACACTTTGTGCCAGTCCCTCAAATATTGGAATATTGCTATCATGAACTACAGGGTAGCATGTGGGCCTACCACCACAATAGTGGGGTTTACACCTTAAAGGTAAAGGTTCCCTCGCATATATGTACTAGTTGTTCCCAACTCTAGGGGGTGGTGTTCATCTCTGTTTCAAAGCTGAAGAGCCAGCATTGTCTGAAGATGTCTCTGTGGTTATGTGACCGGCATGACTAAATGCCAATGGTGCATGGAACATTGTTACCTTCCCACCAAAGGTGATTCCTATTTTTCTACTTGCATTTTTACATGCTTTCGAACTGCCAGGTTGGCAGAAGCTGGGACAAGTAATAGTAGTTCACTCCATAATGCTGCACTAGGGATTTGAACCACTGAACTGCCGAGCTTTCTGATAAACAAGCTCAGCATCTTAGCCACTGAACCACCGCGTCCCAATACCCCTTAGGTAAAGCCAAAAATAAACAAATAGCATTATAGATCAGTCACTGTGCACATTTACTACAATGCTGTCACCTATCTTTTGGATGAATCTTTCAGGATCATGTTAGTTCATGATATAAAATATCTGAGAATATAGAATGATGCGAGATGATGGATAGTAGATAAGTGATGTTACTTAATTATGAAACCTTTGTTTAGCAAAGTAAGAAAATATCAACTAGGCTTCTGTCTAATGCTCAGAAAGTACAGATTGGGTCACTCCCCATTGTACAGGGTTAATAATGATTGTTACATAGGAAGGAGGAATGTAAGATTTATTGTCAGGTTTCACATATTAAGAAATATGTTATTTCTTTTATCTAGAGCATATTAAATAAGCCATAATGTCTGTTTCACATCTGGAGATAAGCCTAAATTATGTTTTATGTACCCAAATTGCATGTGCTTGCTTGTTTGTTATATTTGCATTGCTCTGAAATTAAAATGACTTCCACAATCAAAGCAACTCAGTTCAATATGTGAAGGAGCAGATAAGAGCGTGTAAGATTCTTCCTGTTCAAAAATATTCAGTAGCCACCAAGCTGAATTAAAAATGTAATACACACAGCCAATCTGTTTTTTTGCCTGAAGAATGTGGCATGCTTTGAAATATTTCCATAGTTCTACTTGTAAATGATCAAGGTTTTAGTTACAGAACAAGATATTTGATAGGGCTATTAAATTCAAATTAAATCTCAAATAGAAAGCAAGCACTATTGTGCTAGGATAGATCGGATGTGGTAGCAGACAGTTGGTTTAACTTTTATGAGTATTGATTTCCAGGATTACAAAAACATGATCACTATAAGTATAATTATAGATGTTATTTTATGGTTGTCTTCTTTCTATAATCTATCTACCCTGTCTACTCATCAAAATATTTAAAAGCTCAATGCCAAATCTTTCCTTCTTTTTGCATATACAATAATTTTGCTGTAGTTATCATGTACAAAGTTCCATCATTCTTTTCCAACTTTGCCATTGAATTCCAAAACAAAAACCTCAGTTGTATATTAATCTTTGAAATCCCTAAATCAATATAAGTATTTGAATCCAAAATTTTATAGCTTTGTTTACACATGCAACACACATGATAAAGTCCCTGCTTGTTTTTCACATTTGAAACAGAAATTTAAAGTGCCTTTGTGCATGCTAGTCAATTTCTTTGATGACATACATAACGATTCTCTTTAAGATGATAATATAATGTGAATTTTAATATTTCATCCGTATATTTTCTGTTTCCTATGTATATTATAACAAAAAATAGCGCCCTTGTTCTTTTGTTTCAAATTTCAATAAAAGTTTATACTTCGTATTGTCTGAAACTAAAATTCTAGGCAAGATATTCATTTTTACCACAAAAATTCTCCTCAGCAATGACAATTATAATTTCCCCTATCTTGATGCATCTTTTTATATTTCATTCCATGTCTCAATATAGTAATTGAGCCTCCCAGAGCTAACCTATTGGAGACATTGGCAGCATATACATTTGATTAATTATTCTGAAATAACATGCAGTACAATTCATATGTATTACAGTGATATCCAGATATTTCACTTTTTTGAAATTTTAAAGCCAATTGTATTCATTAATTCTGTTTGATCTGTTATTTTCCCATTTTTCCTCAATAGCTTCCTCTTCTGTTTACTCATCCTGATACCTGCTAAAGCACCAAATTCTTCTAATTGGCTCATTAATATTTTAATTCCCTTTACAAAATTTTCTAGATCCAATAACAAGCCATTTGCAAAAGCCCTTAACTAACAAGATTCTTCTTTTACTCTTTACACTCACAATCCTCTCATCTTGACTTATATCTCTAGTACTTCAAGGACCAAAATAAATGAGAGAATAGTGTAGACATCCCTGTTTTTTTTCCTTCTTGTATTATAAGGTTTTATTAAATCTCCATTAACAATTAGTTGTGTTTTCTGTGAAGTGTAAATCGATCTCACCCATTTTATATACAGGTAGTCCTCAACTGACAACAGTTCATTTTGTGATGGTTTGAAGTTACAATGGCACTGAAATATTGACTTACAACCATTTTTCACACTTACGACCATTGCAGCATCCTCCTGTTCATGTAATCGAAATTCAGATGCTTGTCAACTGACTCATATTTATGACAATTGCCATGTCTCAAGGTCATGTGATTACCTTTTGTGGCCTTCTGACAAGCAAAGTAAACAGGGAAGCCAGATTCACTTAGCAACTGTGTTACTAACTTAACAATTGTGTTGCTTCTCTCAGCAACCGTGGCAAGAAAGTTTGTAAAAACTACTTAAGAAACTGTTTCACTTAACAACATAAAATTTGGGTTCAACTGTGATCACAAATC